AAAGAATAAATGACGAATGGATACAGAGAAGAGTGGGGAAGGAGCAGCAGAAAAGCAGCCCCCGAAGGTGACTGTAGACCCTTTCACAGATGAGAAAATCTGACTGTGAACAATTGAGTCAAAGCCACACAAAAGACAGCAGCTGAGAATTGGATTCCGGTAACAATTATTTCCCAGATTTCCAGTCTAAAGTTAACACCCTCTCTCCGTAGTGTTCTGCAAACATTTCCTGTTTGTTTAGGGGTTATTTGTTGCTCCTTTTGTAGAATATTTCTTCCATCCTATCTTTCACTTCCCATCTTCATCACCTTCTCATTCATATACAGTGGACCACAAAATTCATGGGGCTTTCATTCCTAGAGCACCTGGAAAGTGTGAAAGATGGAGAATCTCAGGTATGGTCAGAAAAATGCCTATGGATGCCTATTTTTATAGTTTATACCCTAAATATGCTGTATCTCCTGCAGTTATATGATTTAATTTAATAAAATACTGTATTCATAAAGCCTTAGAAGGTATAGGGTGTTTCGGCTGCATCTTAGGGCTTAAAGAAGAGGAAAACCAAGAATACTTGGTATAGCTACATGCTATACAGCAACCTGTTATGATTCTGAAGTGATTCTGGTACTTCTTCCAGAAATTGGCTACAGGGCAACAGCCAATCACCAGCAAGGAGAACTGAAAAATAATCTCCAATTGGCTACTTGCCAATCTGCTGGCCAAAAATTTGCAGAGGACATTTGCAGTTTCTACAAAATTGTCAGAGCTTCCACAAGCAATTATTAGTTATTTTCTAAGGAAAATTCCAGCAAAGACTCTGGCTGTGAACTCTGAATCACAGCTTCATGGGGGTACAATGTATTTTCATTCAACAAGACTGATATCAGCCTAAGAAATTCACTCCCCAGCTGCTTACCCTGCTGAATGGTTACCCCACTGACTGCGAGGAGATGGATGACCCAGGGAAGCAAATGGGGATGCAGATGGATTATACCTGTCCCTGGTCCTGCCAGCTCTCAGATAGGAGTAGAATCTAGGATTCTACAATTATTTGAAATGAAAATCCATGGCATTTATTTTGCAGTATGCTCAATTTTTCTTATTTGAGGTGAAAATCAGAATTTTTTGCCCAAAACTGGTGGGAGTCAGTTTCAGATTCCTTGGTTACCAGTTCCCAGTGGGCCCAGAGTACAGGATGGTACAGTTGGAGATGGATGTTTTGGTCCTCACCTTGCTTCACCTGGGAGTCATTGGACATTCTTCCTGGTGTCATGACAGGCAGGAGTAATGCTTTGGGACCATGAGCACAGAATAGATTTTCTTTGTCAGACCAGGGACTTTGTAGATGAAAGTCGTTTTCCTCAGGGATAAGAAGAAGGGGTGTCTCAGCCCTTCCAGAAAGGAGGACTCTTTCCTCAGTGTTTCCTCAAGACACTTGGCCTTGCAGATTCAGCAGGATGAGCACCAACTCCCCACCCACACTACTGAAACTGGCAATGCAGAGCTTGCTGAGAGATGAGGACTTGGCCATGGGAGCTGTGGGAGATTTACCAGGGGAGCTCTTCCCACCAGTGTACATGGAGGCCTTCACCAGGGGACTCACTGAGCTCCTAAAGGCAATGGTGCCACTCTGGCCCTTTCCCTATCTGCCCCCAGGAGCACTGATGAGCATGAGGAGACCACAGACTTCTGACACTGAGGTGGATATTGCCGAGGTGGAGAAAAAGATTTTACAAGCTGTGCTGGATGTGCTTGATGTGTAGTTGGACCAGAATGTTTGCCCCAGGTGAATGTGACCAAGGTATGCTGGAGAGAGGGCTCAGAGAATTGAAGAAGGTACAGAAAGCATCAGGGAGAGTGAGGCTGGGGGGAAAGGCAGAGCCGTCTGATGGTGACTGGCAGAGGATCAGGGAAGCTTTAGGCATTGCTGAATTACCTGGGAGTTTACTGCCAGTGGGGAGGCAGCAGTGAAAGGAGCAAGAAATTCCTGAGTCCTCCCACAGGCATGAGGAATAGGGTCTGGGCTTGAAATAAAAGGGAGAAAGGAGCAAGAAAAAAAAAAAAAACAGCACAGAAAGAGTGGAGGAGATAGCAGCTGATGTCTGGGATGAGCAGATCACAGGAGGCCAGTGGGTCCTGGCCTAAATTCTCAGACTCCTTACTGGCTCCCACACAGGAGCTTGAAACTGCAAGAGGTAGCTACATGGGACATGCACAAAACCTTCTGGAGAGTTCGGGCTGGAAACGAGTTAGAAGCCTGCTACTCCTCAGAAGCCATGAAGAGGAGAAACACAGAGAAGAGTGGGGCGAGGGCAGCACAAAAGCATCCCTTCAAGGTGATTGTAGACCTGGAGTTCAGTCAGGAACCTCTGCACCTACTCCAATCCCAGCCCCTCAAGTGGGCCCAGGAGAGGAAAGGTTTGGTACAGTTACTGTCCAAAGTTGTGCTTTAGAATAGCTGACATTCAAAGTATCATAGAAGTCATGGAAATCTTGAACCTTGGTTCTGTGCAGGAGGCAGATGTGGGCCACTGCTGGTCACTCTCCATCCTACCTCATTTCAACCCTTATCTGGGTGAGATGCAAAATCTTCACAAATTAATTCTCTATGGCATCTCTGTTCCTTCATTCATTTCACCAGAGAACAGACAGCAGTTAGCCACCCAAATGACCTCCCGATTTCGTAAGCTTCACTATCTGCAGGAGATTTTTATGGACTCTGTCTCCTTCCTTGAACACCACCTGGACCAGGTAGGTGCTCATGTAAGATGTGAAGATCTCTTTTCAGAGCCTGAAGAGGCTCTCTGTGTTCTAGAAAGATTAAGGAACATGGAGAGATGCGACAGAGATCAAACACTAGAGTATCAACACATCGCCTTTTTCACTCATTGGTCCTACAGCAAGGGGTCACATAAACACTGTACTGCAGTAGCCAGACAGGAAAGGGCCACTGTGTCAGATGCCAGAATTCAGAGGTCAGATACATTGAGGGTCCATTCAAGACAAAAGTCATTGAAGGAAAACAAGAGTACACATCCCCATTCAGTGTGTGAGCTTCTTCCTCAGATGTGTGAAAGACACTGGGCCTGTTCCTGTGTCCCCAACTGGAAAAGGCTGCTGGTGATAGCGGCAGAGGCTTGAAAACCTCAGCTGGATATTATCGTGCTCTCTTCCTGGGCCTCCATCATCCCAGACATCAGTCGCTAGCTTCCCTACTCCTTCTGCCTTTTCTCCTTGCAACTTTTCTGCCTTTGATACAGCCCAGTTGCCTCTCGTACTTCTTCTGCGAGGAGACAGGAACTTATCACTCCTTACACTTCTGTGTCCTGAATTAGCAGTCCCCTTTATTCACAATCAGTACCTCTGTGGCTCAGCAATGCCCAAAGCCTCTCTGATCCTCCCAGTATCACTGTCAGAATCCTCTGCTCCTTGGTGGGGTGGTGATGACCAGACCGGAAGTGCAGGACTCTGAAGCTGATGGCAAGGAGAAGAGGCGCGGGACTGGAAACAAGGACACAGACTCTGCTGACAGCCTTCTGGGAAACCCCAGGGGATGTGGCCAGGTCTTGTCTGATTTGTCCTTCCTGCCTGTCTTGCTTCTCTGTGGTTTTCTGCTAGGGAGAAAAGAAAGAGGACTGTAGAGATGTGGGACTCACCAGCCTTGCAAGTGATGGTAAATTCCCTCAGCCTAAATTGGAGAGACACAAATGACATTTGATCTACCAAGTAGTTATTCCCCACCACCAATTAATCAATTATTCATCACCACCAATTGTCAGATCTAATTACTTGGTGTCTCTGTAGGTGCCCGACATCACCCTTGAGGACCATTTCATTAATTTACTGCCAGCTTTCACATTCTGACTGGAACCAGCTGCCATGTTGTCCCAGCACCGGACACCTGAAACACTTGGATCTCAGAGGTATCAGGCTGACTCATTTTAGTTCCAATCCTCTCCGATCTCTCCTGGATAACATTGCAGCCACTCTGACCACCCTACATTTGCAGGCCTGTAGGATCACGGATGCCCAGGTCCATGCCTTTCTGCCTGCTCTGAGCCAATGCTCCCAGCTCATTACCTTCAGTTACATGTGCAGCTTCATGTCTGCAGCCACTCTGGAGAGCTTGCTGTGCCACACTGCCAGGCTAAGCAGCTTATGCCTAGATATGTACTCTGCTCCTCAAGAGGCTTATGCTTCCAGGCATGGTGCCCACCAGCTGAGGCAGGATGAGATTCACGAAGGGCTGAGGATTGTACTGCCATTAAACCACCCCAGGACAGTATAGTTTTGTGGTGCTCAATGGGATATATATCTTAATAGGGAAGCCTATTGCCTGCACTCCACTCCATGCTGTGTGGGAATCCCTCTTTAGTTTGATCCACATATTCTATGCTTCCTTCTGGCCATTGAGGAACACAGGACTTTTATTTCAGCATAAATGAGAAAAAGACAAGTCAGGCAGCAAACTTGAAGAATCACTGAATCAAGAATTAAAGTGACCTTTGTGGACTCACATCCTAGAAAGCATCAGAATGAGGAATCTGAGTTTCTAGTTACAAATTCAGGCTTGAGATGAACGTGTGGATGTATGTAAAGAAGTGATCTAAAATAAAGAGAGTTGCACCTAAACCGTCTGGTTTCCTCCCAGATCATTTTGCCTGCTTTCCAGCTTAGGGCTCACGAATCTGCAGTAACTGATGGGAAAAGGCCCTGAGCTGTCTGATCAATGAGGTTTGGGGGCCTCAGAAACTCACAGCAGCAAGGAGATACTCCATAGAGTTCATTCTCTCCCAGTCTAGTTTTTTCTGGCCACACATTACCTCCATCTGTTCTGGTTTATCTCCCTTCCCAATACACTTATGTTACTTGGGAGTCATCTTAGGGCCTTTCCACTGAACTACAGCCACAGAGTTTCCAGATGGGGTCCTTCTGAACTGTCAGGGTTGGGCTTGCACTTGCGGTCCTCTGCCATGACATCCCAGGATGCCGTGATAACAGAAGTGGGCCACTATTCTCAGATACTTCCTCCTTATTTTTGTGCCTCTGTTTTTCCTTTCCAAGATTTTCAACCTGAAATGCACACCAGAAACCAACTCTCTAAGGTAGAATTCCTATGGGAATTGCAGAAACTGCAATCAGGGACACACCTGCTATGGAAGGCCACAGGTGCCTGACCCTACAATATTGTTATATGCCTTTGATAATTATTCTTCAACTTTGTTAAAAAAAAATAATAAGGGACTCTCTTTTTTTAAAGGTCAAAGTTGTTGCTTTTATTGTTAGAAATAACTTGTATTTCTACATATAGAAAATTGCTTTGAGTAACCAAGAAAATAACTATTTTATGAGAAAACATAAAAGCTAGCTTAACTAAGTCCAAACTAATATATTCTTATTGTCCAAAGGTAAAGCAGGGCACCGAGAGTAGCCTCCGAAAAACAAGAAGAGCAAAGTCCTGCAGTAAAGCTGCAAGTCTATACTGTTCATCTCACGTTACAAGTTTCTTTTTTTGTTGTTGTTTTTTGTTTTTTGAGACAGGGTCTCACTACATAGTTGAGACTGACCTGGAACTCACTATATAGCCCAGGCTGGTCTCGAACTCACAGCGATCCTCCTGTCTCTGCCTCCCAAGTGCTGGGATTACAAGTGTGTGTCACCATGCCTGGCTTATGACTTTCTTATAATCGTCTTTCTGCCAATACAATCCTACTTCCTAAAGAATGAACATATAGAACACATTGCAAAATGGTTCAGAAAAAAACTGAAATAATTCAAGAACTTCTAGTATTAGAGAGAAAAGGAAATACTGGGTCTTAATATCCAGTCCAAGTGATATAACTGTAAGGACCAAGTATTCAGGTCGAGGTGGGCTCTCTCTGTGCCCCTTGCCCAGAACAGAGCTGCAAAAATTCCATTCTGTATAACTCCATTCTGTATGACAGTCTCCCTGTGTTTCTGTTCCTCTTTTTATGATCTAAAAATAAATCTCTCTTGCTTATCCCTGCTTAGGATAATCAATAAGAACTGATTTTGGCATTAGTCAGTTTAAGATAATTACATGTTCTGTCAGAATGTAGGTACAAGTAATTTTCCGTAAGTGTTCTCCCAGTACAAAAGAATAAACGAAAGATAAAAATAGCATCTATAAAAAGGGAGAGCCTCCCCAACCCTGTATAATCCTGCATCCAAGATGGGTCTGGACTCTCGGTCTGAAGCCACTGTGACAGTAACACCCGAGGGTCCAGGCTCGAGCTTGCAATAAACTCCTCATGTAATTGCATCGGACCTGACTCCTTGGTGGTCTCTGGGGACTTTGTGACTTGGGCATAACAATAACTAAGATTTTTCTAATGTGACAAGCCTGCCAACTCAAAGTGTCAATATCCTCAATTCTCCAGAAGTGATTCTAGCTCTTCTTGTAAAGAACTGAGTCGCTCCTGTTCTCAGTCGTCCTTTTGAATTCATCCAGCACAGCTTGAAATTTGTTCTAAAGAGCCAGGTTTTCCACTTTCATGAGATCCTCCAGCCACTTTGCTCCTGGAGCTTGCCTTTCATGTTATCAATCTGTTTCTGAATTCCCATAACCAGTTGGTTGTTTCCTTCATTTTCTTCGTGCTGTTCATCTGATTCATTCAGCTTGTCCTGTAGCTTTCTCTCCAAATCTTCCTCAGTATCAATAATGTTTATATCTTCTTCATCTTGATGCTGTGTCTCATCTTCATCTTCACTGCTGCTGCTATCATTGAATATCTCTTGAAGCTCATCATGTTCTAATGAGTCATGGCCCTGCCCATGTCCATACAAAACTGGGGAGAAGATATCAAGGCCTTGATTTTGTCTCTTTTGTTTCCTCTTCAGCAATTATTTCCCAATGAATACTGACAGTTTCAGCATCTGTACTGAATAACCGCTTAACTTCTTTTCCCACATCTGGGGACTCAATATACTTCCTCTTTGCTGTCTTCCAGAACCTTCTCTTTCTCACATTTTTTAGAGGCAGAGTAATTCCATGGTTCCAAACAAACTTTTTCTCTTTATCTTTTTTCTTGCTTGCTTTGGGATCAGTAGTGGTAACTGGTCACTCCACAGGATAGAGATCACCGTCAACTGTGGAGACAAGCATCTGATAGATATCAGTTGTCTTGTAAAAGGTCTTTTTGTCAATGGTTTTCAAGCTTTCCATGACACAAGGTAAATCTACCAATTTTGCAGCCAATGGGACCCTGTCCACTCTGACAATTCCATGACGCGCATCAGGGTGTAATTCAATTGTCATTCTGTCCTTCAGGTTGACATGGCCAGACTGTACTGCCCTTCTCACAATAGAAGCATATTCTGGGGGTAAGCGTAAGATAAACTGGTTCTCTAGTTCATGAGGAGCATCATCTTTGCTCTTACTCATCTTTACTTGTTGGTGATTCACTTCTCCAATAAGCACTTGTTTCACTAAAAAGTTCCAGCTACAAGAGTTTAAAAATCCAGTGTGATATAAATTCAAATCTCTAATTACAAAGACTTCTAAGCAGAACACAAGCCAGCTAAACACCTATTTTTGTCTTAATTTTTTATCAAGCACCAAGTCTTCCCGGTGCATATGCTGTAAGGGAACAGCAGCAGTTGTTATTAACAACACACTGGTTTATTCAGCAAGTTTATCTGCCTATTCTTTGCAATGCCAACTTGCAGCCTCTAGGTGCCGCTGCCGGACAACGCAGACTGCATAAACGCCCAGCAAAGCAAATGGCGGCTCAATCCCGAGGATTATAAATTCAGCCTCTCCGCGCGAGACCTAAACAGAAAAGCCAGTCCGGGCAAAGCGGCCCAGAGGAGGAAAGCGGTCAGGAGAAGAGCGGTCCCAAGCAGCCAAGCGGCACGGAGGCAGCAGGAGGACGGTCGGAGGAGGAGGGTGACCGGAAGTAGAAGAGCTATCCGGAGCTTCTATGGAGCCCAGCGTCTCTTTCTCGATTTCTTTGCTCGTCCTGCTGCTTGATCCCTTACTGATTACCAGTGCAGGGACCCAGAACGAGCAGTGCGAAGTCTCGCCGAGACCCGCCGCACCGAGCCCCAGCGGCAGATACCCCTCGGAGAAGCAGGCCCTACGTCACGGCGCGGGGCGGGGCGGAAAGACAGCGTGAGTGACAGCCCGGCCCAGGCGGAAGTACTTGCTTCGTTACTGCGCGCAGGCGCAGTTATGTAATTACGATGCGAGGTCTTGTCTACTGTTTTCGCGAGAACTTGTCTTTCCCACTGTAGAGCTTTCAGTTGAGAGTCGGCTGGTCCCAAGGCACAGTGACGTATTGGAGGGGCATCACCGAGGAGAAATAGTCCTCGACAAACAGCAAAGAGCAGGAGCAGCAGCAGTAGCAGAAGCCGGGAAAACTCTCCTTAGCTTCTCCCAGCTCTCTGGTCATGGAGAAGGTAAGATGGTTGGGCCATATGGTATTTCCATTGCTATTGTTCAAGAAATTCCTTGGTCTAGTGATCTGAAAACATTTCTCCTGGTGGGCACAGCTGAATTTTCTGACTCCTCATCTAGTGAGGACTGGAGTAAAGATTACTTGCTGACAGTGGATGGGATAGTGTTGTCCTGGTGCTAGCAGGGACTAGCTTTTGGGCCACCGAGGACAGAGATATTGGGGCCAACTGAGAAGTCCTCCACCATAAACAAAATAGAGACTGTGGTTCAGAGTTAGTCTTCTGGGTCTCATAAAAGGCTGGGGGGGGGAACCTCAAGGCTGGGTTTCATCCTCAAGGGTAAGGTTAAAGGAACCAGACTCAACCCATATGAGAAGGTGGGCACTGGGCACATGGGGTGCTACCTCCATCATGAGGCTCTGAGAATGAACCAGGACAACCCAACCTCCTGGGAACTTGGGAAAAAGTTTGGAGGGAAGGTGTAACTCTTGTCAAGGTAGACTTTAAAAAAAAAAAAAATGAACAGGTCAATGAAAGATACTATGGCACATCTCCCACAGAGACAGTGCACTTGAGGGAAGAAGTGAGTTCCAGTTTTACTTGGCCCCAGAAGGTCAAGAGCATTTCAGACAGAATAAGCACAGCACAGTCAGTTTTATTTATTTTTTATTTTGTGAAAAAATAAAACAAAATTCCATAATCAAACTGAAATAGAATTACAATAGTGATTACACGGTGTATGATTATCCCTAAACCAGAAGATTTTAAGTCAGATCAGTCTGAGCCCATCACCTCCTTTGTGTAACTGGCTTAGTCCTCAATCTCTAAAGATCCCTTTTTTTTCTACCAAGCTGAGAACTGTACTTGTGC